CTGTAAACGCGAAGGCTGGACTCGAACCGCTGAAGCGTCAACCATTTCTGGCCGGCAACTTTCAACGTCATTAAGCCGCTGCGCCACATCTGGAGGGCATCAAACTGGAGAAGACTGATCTATGCACATCTTTTCTATATTGTTACGATTCATATTCCAGACTACCCCTGGTCATTCTGAACTACTAAGGGGCGAAAATGACCTACTAAATAAAAATAAAATATATTTTAAAAAATATAGTACACTTTCAGTCAAGCATTCTACTTAGCACTATAATTGCCTTAAGTCTGTAAATGGGAATTTTACTTCCTACTTCAGAATCATATATTTTTTTTAAAAGAGTCTTACTGAATATTTTTGCAGATATTATTATATAACCAGGCAATAATTGATTAAAAAGCAAAATAGAGTTGGTGTGATGGCTATTTATTGCAATTCAAGGGTTGTGATTGCAGTCTATACTGTTGTTGTTCTATTACAAGTTTACTGAACCCAGGTGACAGAGTGATTTTGACACTGAAGCTTGAATTATGTCTGGCAATATTTTTCTGTTGTCTAATTAAGGGCAAAAAACTAGCAATCTAAGACTTGTGCTTAGCTAACAGTCCCAATTAAATTCCATTACCCTGAGAGTTAATAGTCAGGATTGCTGGTCATAATAGCTATAGGGCCACAGGTTCCACATCTATGCCCTATTACTTTTACTTACAAAGAGGGGATTTTGAATCATGTATGCTTATAGTCCAAGGTTGCTTAATAAGGTGATGGAATTTCTGATCTAAGCTCTGACTTTTCTGTTAGATAAGTCTCTACTCAAATAACTCATTGTGTGAGCATGGAACAAGTAATCGTATCATCCTGTCATATGATTTCCTGGACATACAAGCTCATATTGACACAATAGCAGAAATGTTACTTTTGCAGGCAGTGAAATACTAATCACTGAATAGCAAAGCAGTTGGAATTATAACATGATTTACTTCTTTTACTCATTGTAACCTTTTAATGGCAGAAGCCAGAAGGAAAGGGGAAATGAAAATCTATTTGTTTATTTGCTTTAGCTGGCTATCAATATTATAAGGCTCAAATAAGCCAAACATTTTTATCTTGCAATGTTAAGAATAAAAAAAATGACGTGTTTTGCCATAGTAAAATATGGGTAGAAGTTTGGAGATTTGAATAAAGTGAATGCACAAATGAGGTAAAACCTGAATAAATTTGTCAGAAGGTCCAGACACATTTTTTTCCTATGGTTTGTGCCCAAGCTGGGAATCCAATAAAACACACCAGACAATCAGTGGAGGCCAAAGAAAATATGTTTATTCAACCCAAGGTTGTCAAGTAAAATTGGGTGGCAGCCACACTGGATTGCCCCTCCATCTCCCTTTTTATAGGTTTTTTTAGTTTAAAGATTTAGCCATACCAATAGAATGGAATGCTTTAGCTTATTACGAACAAAAGTTTCCTTATCTAGAGTTAAAACAGATGCCTCCTTATTTATAGTTAAAACTGATGTCTCCTTATCTAGAGTTAAAACAGATGTCTCCTTAAATGGGCATTTATCTTTCCTAGGCATGTTTTTCTACACATAAGATATATATCTTCCTTTACATGAGTTTTGCTACGTGATGTGCCCATTTGTTTCTAAAATGGCATTACTACTGCCTATACAATCTTTTATCAATCCTTAATTTAAACTTTTTTTAAACATATAAGGAAAAGATTCCAACAGATTTAAGAATGAAAAGTAAAAGAGAAACAAATTATAAGTAAAAGATGTTCATGAATAAAGCAACAAAAGAAGAAACAGCAATATTCAATAGAACAATATGATTACAGGACAGATTTCTTTCAAGTCTTGGGAACTCATCAGATGCCACAGCAAATATTCTCCAGATTATCCCAGCAAGTGTAAGCATCTTTCTCTGGCAGGCCTATAATGCAGCTCACCCTGGCAAGTCTCCAAGAATTTATATAATATTCTATTGCAATTATTCATGCTTCTGATTATGTGCTATCAAGCCAATTTATTCTTCTTGTCTAGTAATCAAGAGTTTATGTGAGTTAGTACCAGTTCATCCCTGCCCAGATCTTGGGCCTTGAGCTAAAAGAAAGCAATATCACTCTTAAGCTAAGCTGCATGAGAAAACAGCTAATATGAGAAAAACTAAATGAAAAACTAAATGAAGAAACTAAAGGGTATTTCACAGGCCAGCTTTTTAAAAATCTAAGGCATTATCAAGCCATGCTATGAACAAGAATACAAAAGAGAAGCCATTTTATATGGGAAAGTACAGAGAAAGATGGAATTAAACCACTTAAGCTTCATCACCATTACAATAATCTTCTGCAATAGTACTGTACTTGTTCACAACATTGGTCTTTTATCTTGTAGTTTTGTCTCTTAATTCCACAGAACCCTCACACATAAACCTCTCACTGGGACTAAGTTTGTATATGATTTTCTGTCATTCTGTCTTTATTGCCCAGATTAGTATTCATCCTTGATCATCTAATATCATATCATCTTAGAAGTTGACAAAAGAATAGTTGCAAGGAAAATGTTTTTCAGTGAGGACAGAAAATGTTGATATTACTGGATCATAAAATCTTTTTATTTTTTATTTTTTTTAAGTACATGGTGGGATGTGCCAATCAATAATAAAAAGAATTGCATGTGGATTAAGAGATGGCATTATTTCTTTTCAGTTTTTCAGTTGAATAAGATGATTAATGATAGTACCATGAGGTCTGTTTAGTCAAATTCATTGTACAAAGTCTATCAGTTTTCTCCCAGAGCAACAGAGAAAAATACTCACAATATGGTATTTAAAATGTGTCATGTATGAGATTCTTTTTTTAAGGAAGTATATAAAATTTAGCTTTCTACAGGGAGATTTTATGGTATTTTTTCTGTCAACTGGTTGGCTGTTACCTTTTTTGCATGAAAATAGATTTCTCTATTATGTGCTAAATTTAATGAATGATAATGCAGAACTTATCTGCTAGGTACAGAGTTGCTCCAAATGAGAATAATGTTATGACTTTTTCTGCTAAACATTGCCTTAAAATACTTTTACTAAATAAGATCTGTCTCAGCCTGTCCCCAAACTGCATCCCTCCAGAAGTTTTGCACTATAACTTGTATTTTCCTTGATTTTTGACCAAGCTGACTGAGACTAATGGAAGTTCTCTAGATTGTAAAAGGATGTTCTAATTAGTCCAGTATCTTATATTCAGTAATGAACTAATGATTTCAAGAAACCAATAAGTAAGTCATAAAAGTTGTATGTGTCCCTTAGAGATTTATAGTCAGTGGTATGCCAACTTGTGATTATGGAAAACATGAAGATTCAATATACATACTCTAGAATTTTGAGCTATATATGCACAAGGTTGCACCACATGAGCTCATATCCTGAGAGTGCAGGATTTGGGATTACATGAAAGCTTCCAAATGTACAGCTCTGCATGTGAAGGTTTCTTTGCTACAAATAGCTGTGCACAAGTTGTTGATGATTATTATCCAAACACACCTTACAGAGTAAGGGGATTGCTCATTGCTACTCACTTGCGTGTATTGCCTGAGCAAAGCAACCTTTTTCAGTCACTTTGAGACAGAAAACAGATGAAAACATAGTATAAGTTCTGAAATAGACATTTCATACAGAGAAATCTATGAAGTCCCTCCAGAAGCTACCTGTACCACATATGTGATGCAGCCTCAGCCACTTTGTGACCACAGATCCCAAAATGTTGCTTCTTGTCCATCAAAAACTTGACTGCTCCTGAAGTAGTTAATTAATCTCTAACAAAATAATTTATAACCTCAGGAATCTCTGCAACAAATTGAAATGGTGACACTATGAAGTTAGATTAGAAACCAGAGGAAGATGGAGTCAGTGACAATTGTAAAATATTTCCTTTTAGATAAATAGTAGAAGGATCCCTTTTATGTTCATGTAAAAAGAGAGTTTAAGGTTGAATTGCTTTCATTAACTAGAGTGTCTCTAGCTCAGTTTCCCAGGCAATAGCCCTAAATTAAATAAATTAATTAATTTGTCTAGGTTCGGAGCAGTATCCTGGCAGAAAACAAAGATCCAAGGACAGATAGTGGGGTAGGTTAATTGTTGATGTATGTGTTTGTATGTATATAACATTAATATAAATAATCCTAAAATGATGTTAAAGTTGTGATAACTAGCTGTTCATGAACTTTTTGTAAATTAAAGTTGTGCAAAATATTCATGAATTGAATATATAACCAAGGCACATCTTATGTACTTTTATTTGTATATTGGTGTAGTAGGAAAAAATCCAGATACTGCAAGGGTGCTGTGTTGTTCATTTCTGTAGAAAGTCATAAAATTTGTCCTTCCCTTCCCTTCCCTTCCCTTCCCTTCCCTTCCCTTCCCTTCCCTTCCCTTCCTTTCCTTTCCTTCCCTTTCCTTTCCTTTCCTTTCCTTTCCTTTCCTTTCCTTTCCTTTCCTTTCCTTTCCTTTCCTTTCCTTTCCTTTCCTTTCCTTTCCTTTCCTTTCCTTTCCTTTCCTTTCCTTTCCTTTCCTTTCCTTTCCTTTCCTTTCCTTTCCTTTCCTTTCCTTTCCTTTCCTTTCCTTTCCTTTCCTTTCCTTTCCTTTCCTTTCCTTTCCTTTCCTTTCCTTTCCTTAATTCAGAAACTGCTCAGTCTCAAAAAAGATTCCAAGTGGCTTTTCTCCTATGGATTGAACAGGGACATTTTCTTTTTCATCGTATTACATGTGCTAATCACTTCTGCCAAAATTGTCTATATCATACCCCAAAGCTTTTCTATGAATGGCCATATTAATTAGATAATTATCAATGTCTGTACTTTCTGTACGTCATATTTCTCTTATATTACTTTTTGCAATCCTCTTTACACTGTCATGAGTATACACATAAGCCTCATTCATAATACTTCACATAACCAATGAAATGCAAGTAAATATTTTGACAAGATTCCTAAAGTATCACAACGGTGTTGGCACACTAATATCATAGAGAACCACATGTTTTAGCTTGTTAAAAACATTTTTGCATCTATTTTTTTATTAATTTCAACTGATGCTAAATTATGTTAAAATTAGCTAAGCCCCCTTAAAACTTATTTGTCTGATAGCCCCACCTATTTTAGAGACACTTCCTATTTTAGAAGCTTCGGTACTTCTGGACAACTGGCATATTTCTGCCTAGTTCTAAAGAACTTTGTTCAAACGTAAACATAAGTATGGTTGCATAGTAACTAGTTAATACTGCACAATGACTAGTATAGATTAATAGCATAGTTATAGAAGCATAGTTGTTGAAGTCAGCTGTTTTACTTATTTATTCTTTTTCCAAAATCATCTGTGTTCTGTACTATTTTCTGTCTTTTTCGGTGTAAATCTTAAAATCCATTTTCTAGGTTCAGTTGCTGTACTTAAATATAATCCTGAAGCTTCAATTCCCAACTTTTGCTAGCAATAATTGATTTTTGTTTTAGCATATAGAAATTATGGAATTGATTCCAATGGAATGTTCAAAAAGGCTGGATCGCATTTCTCAAATACTACTATCAAGACAGCTCCTACCTGCAAGAATGTTAGTACTGTATAACGAAGCTGGTGGGCAGCTTATGCAACTCTAAATGACTGAGAGCAATATGTTTTGTATTATAAAATAATCCATCCCAAAAGAATGGAGCTAAATTCAGAAGCTGCAATTAGGAAAGTTGTACCTTCTTCTGAAATGCACACAAGTCATATAAACTGTTGTAGTCAGTTATAATAGAAGCCAAACATAAAAAGTTCTGTTATGGAACAGTCTAAAGATTGCTGGAAAGGAACATTGCTACATATCTCAAAGATCTTACAATAATGCGGAAATCTTTGTCTTCAAAGTGATCTTTTAAAATTGAAGAGGTGTTCATGGTTTTTACAAGAGACAATGAAATACATCAAGACGGAGAAAAGTGTGTTTAATATGTCACATTTAACAAACTGAACTAGAGGAATAAGGGTGATCAAAAGAGTTGGATGAATACATTTGCTTGCATCTGCAATAAAAAGAAAAAGGGAAACAAATGCCTCATACAATGTGTTGAATTAGTAATTATAGCATTCATCCTATTAATATCATATTCTATTGGCTATATATGAGAGCCAGTTTGGTGTAATGGTTAAGGCACCAGGCTAGAAACCATGAGACAGTGAGTTCCAGTCCCGCCTTAGGCACAAAGCCATCTGGGTGACCTTGGGCCAGTCACTCTTTCTCAGCCCTAGGAAGGAGACAATGGTAAACTACTTCTGAAAAACCTTGCCAGGAAAACTGCAGGGACTCAACACTGGAGTCAGGAGTCAACACTGACTTGAATGCAAAAAAATGGCTATATAAAAATACCTCTGGAAAACAAATATGCTCGTATTTGGCAAATAAGTGATAGTGCCTGCAAGAATGATAGCAATAAAAATCTGCAGAGTTAACCTCAACTGTGATATGAAAGTTGTAAAAAAATTGTTAGACCTTAAAAAGTGTCTTCTCTTATAGCTTTATATTTTCAGCATGCAATTTTTCAAGTTGTCAATTCTCTTTGTTTTTAATGAAAAAGAAATTCCTGTTCCAGTTTAATTAATTATCAAGAATAGCATCACTGATCTGTGAAAGCATTCAGTGGTGAATGAGTATTCAGTTTCCTACTTAATATTTATCTTTTGCCACCAAGGTAACATTTGTATGGCTGAAAGAAAAACCATTACAATTTGAGAAACATAGTGTTTTGCCATCTCATACAACCTCTGACTTTCGTGCGTTTCTCTACCTAATCTTTCCTTTGATTTCTAGCGAAGTTTCCTGGGTTGTGCTACTTTTAAAGTAGGCGAGTTGGTGAAGTCAGAAGAGCAACAGTTGACTCTTAGCCTGAGGTAGGTCTTTCTGTTAATTTCAAATCTTGTCAAATTAAGAAAATGAATGACTATGAATGAATACCATTGAATGACTGCTGCTTTTCTGTCCTTTACTTAAAATTAATGCAAATTTTACAAGATATGCTGGAGGATTTTGTTCAGCCCTTATCTCTCTTCTACAGGTAGATTCCTTGTTCCATTTCTCTATATGTTTGAATTATCCTTGTATCCTTTTATCTATAAAAATCTTGTGCAATAATACTATCCAGTTTTGTTTTGTTTTTTAATGTGATCCACTTCAGATCTTGGACATGGTCCATGTGGTTTCCTTGGCAACATATAGAAGTGGTCTTCTATCTAAGTGATCATAGTAAAACCTCAATTTAACAGCTCATTTGGGATAAGGAATATGTATTAAATCTAAATGTAAATCACTTGCATCAATTTAAATTATTTTTGTAATTACATAATTGGCATAAATGGTATTATTTCCAGTAAAACTTTGGTTTAACAAACACCCTCAATTTAATGAACAAATCTTCAACTTAAAAACATTGGTAAATCTTCAATTTAACAGCCATTGGATGGAAAATTTAGATCCATGGAGAATGATCGTGCAGCAGTTGTACAAATAAGCTGATGGGAGAAGTGTCTCCCTGTTCACTCAGAGGGAACATTCATCAGATTTTGAAAGCAGTGACATCTGTAAGGGAAGTCACATGATCTGATTGCAGGATCCCTGGCAGAGCGCCCAGCTCCTAAGGATTGGAATTGGTTTTGATGTCTCTTCAAAGTTGCTGTCACTAGTCTCCATAGGCTCTCAATCTTATCCATATTATTATGGTTTCATCTTTTATATTTTGAGAAAACAGTGAACTGTCATTCTCCTTCTCCTTCTCTACCTCTGATGATGCAATGAGGAATAAATGATTGAAGCAAAATGTTACCTATATCATTATTTCTTAGTTTGATATGTCTATCCTTTTCTGACATTGCTTTTAAGAAATATGTGTTTAAAAAGCATTTGGAGGCCTTGGCTGAGCCAGGCCTAAGCTGAGTGTGTTCAGTCTAATGATACCTCATTTCATCTCAAATATGAACTTCCTAGATTTTAAGAGAAAGAGTGATGTTAATCTATATCTGTTTACAATTGGGATCTAAATTGTTTATCATCATCATCATCATCATCATCATCATCATCTACAACCTCATTATCTCTGTTTTACGAAGTTCTGTTTTACGAAGTTAATATACAGACTGAGTTTCCTAATTGATTTTTGGTGTAGTTTGTTAGATTTAAGCAAGTATATAGAAAAGTATAGAAAAGAAGTTACCAAAGGACAAATAAAAATATTAGAATGAACAAAAGGAATAATAATATGTATTCCCTAACATGTTATTAATTATTAGAAGCATTTAGAAGCAGAAGTTCCTGAATTTCATATTTTTAATTAGTAAATTGACAATGAATATAGTCTTATAGAATTTATTAACGTTTGTATCATAGACATAAAATTTTCTTTTTTTATTGAGAATAGTTAAGAGAAATTTATATTTTATTAGCTTGGAAACTTTACATGTCAAATAGAGAAGAATAGCGCCTATGACACAGGAATAACTGAAATTGAGTGCTGCCATGTAGCGTTTACATGACAGTATATAGGTAGCTCAGCATTTTTCTGGGTGTTATCTTTTGATTTGTCTTCAAGTGAAGAAATGGCACCAGTGCATTGTTCCTATAGAGTTTGATTAGTCAAGAAATTTGAGTAAGAATCAATAAAATGTATTGTAAGTTGATTTTCAGTTTTCAGTCTAAAAACCACAAAATTAGTATGTATTCAGTGCATGGAGGGTTTTTTGGTTACATTTTGGCAATGAAAAGAAAAATAATGAAACTTTTAGATTCATTTTGGTGGCTTGTTTAGTGCAACCAACAACTAATCTAATACTATTTTTTAAAAAATGTCTGTTAGTGTATGCATGCCTACCTGCCATAACAATTAGAATATAATCTTCTTTTACTTGGCTGTCCTGCAGGAAGTTCACAGCAAAGACTTCTGATTGCATAGAAATAACATCTTGACTGGGTTATCCAGTGAAGAGTGTTTCAGAAATTTCTAAAATGTGAATTGATTGATTATTTATTTATTTTGGTTGAATTTTTAAAATCAGTACCTTAAATGCAGGAAACATTTTTTAAAAAACTATACCCTGCTTTTCTGTCTTTTCTTAAATTTAAAAGCACATATTTTTGCAGAGTTTAAGTGGAAACATGTGCATGCATCAACTTAAATATGGGAAGAAAAGAGATTTATAACCTGCTCTGTGCCTTTCTGAAAGATATATATATAAGTACATATATTTTTGCAAGGTTTAACTGGAAACAAACTCACACCCCTCCAGTGTTCCAGCAAGCAATGAAAAATGACCAAACTTTATTTTGAACCTTTCTGAAACAAAACATATAGTGGTAAAAAACTTTAAACTTCTGTGTGCAAAGGTATAACTACAGGTCTGCAACTGAGCAGAAAAATACCCTCACAATGACTGCAAATATGTGCAAAGCACGCCCTGCAAGGGCAATTCGGGAACATGCCTCCTATGTCCAAAGTGATTACTCTGGGCATGCACAAAGTACATCCTGGAAGAAGAGGTTTGTTATGTGTTTGGGCATGCACATAATAATTACTACATAAATGTGTGTTAATAAAGAGAACGTTGGTTACATGTTCTGGCACACCCAAGAGAGGCAACATTTGACTCTGAAAGTCCTTTGGGCTTTGGAAAAATAAAGGTCTATAGTTTTAAAGATGATGACCTCAGCGTTCCTCAGAGGAACTTAAAATTTGAGATATAGGACGTTTGTCAGATCAAGCATGCGTACACACAAAAGCATAGTGGGTAAATGGATTTTATTTGGGTGAAGCAAATACAAGTAGTGGTGGGCAGGTTACAGAAGCACATGCACGCACAGCTCTCAAACAGTTCCCAAGTCCTTAAGAGCTTGCCTGGATGGGCTTGCTGATAGTCAGTGTCTGATGGAGCAAACAGAGGCATAGTCTGACTCCCAGTCTGAGAGGTAAGGTGTTGTACCAAGGCTGTCAGCCAGTAATGTCACAAAGGAGCAGTGTTTCCACAAGCAAGGTTTTCAGGAAGCAAACGAACAGATTGTTGGGTAAATGGAGCAGCTGTTCCTAACGAAAGATTGCTGGGCAGTGATGGTTCTTGCTGCCACTACAGGTAATCAAGTGCAGGAACAGAACAAAAGGGCAGGAATCCACACAGAATGCCTTTGCACTGCTTGGTGTTCTGAGTTCTTGGGCTGGGGGAGGTCATGGATCCCATCCCTCATCACCTGATGCCACCAGTTCTGCATGTTCCTCAGCTCCGTCAGCCTCAGGTGCCTCATTGCTAGGTTCTCCCTGAGGATGGCGTTCATCTGAGGCCTCTGGAGCAGTACCTTCCAGCTCTTTCTAGCATTCGTCTGGGGCATCAGGAGCACCATCTTCTAGCTCAGACTCTTCTGAATCTGATCTAGCCACAATAATACCATCCAACACCCAAAGCGCTCAAGGTCATGTTTCACAGGACTTGCCAGGGTTCAGGCTCCCTGAAAGAATGACCACTGCTGACAAACTGCAATAAAATATGTTGGAGTTTTGATGAAGAAAATGGATGCAATATCATGTAACAGCATACAGCCTGTAAAATGGTGAAGGGCCGCCATTTAGACCCTCTCAAAGGATCCTAATGGGTAAGTAATTAGTTTTTATTTCTTGTTATATAAATACCAGTGGCTGGATGTCACCCTAAATTTGATTTATATTTTGCAGTCTCTGAATTGCCACTTGATAAGTGAACAGTTCAAGGGAGGGCATCATTATTGTGATTACTGCTGCTGTCAGGAATCTACTGAGGATTTTTCCAGTCTGGGATGTGGCTGTGATTCTATTCTATTAGAGAGGCCATGCTATTTTCATTGTGATCTAGAGTGCTATAATTCACATGAAGAGTAACAGTTACATAGTGCTTGTAATTATGGCTCTGATTTGTGGGATACAGATCTAGCAGAAAGATGCACATACTTGCATCCAGTAACATAGATGCCTCTCTGAACTCTGTATATAAACATTATCAATAAAATTATTTTTTATGTCAACATGATCACTTCCCCACAGACTTCAATATGTTGGAATATAAAAACATTCTAAGAGGCATTTATTATATGCTTGGTCATGTAGGGAGTTATGAGGATGTGAATTGCCTATTTCAGGATGACAAGAAACATTACAAAAAACTGTCCAGGAAACAAAGTAAAGACCTGGCTTTCAAGACAGAGCGACTGTTGCTATTTTTACTGGGCTATGATTGAACTTATTCTGAAATTCAGTGGTAATATACTAGGGACCAAGTTTACAGGTAGAGGATTTTATAAAGATGGCTGCACTCATGGAGATACCTTGCTGATATCTGCAGGAAACCTGGCTTCAGGCTAGAGAATAGCCAGTAATCATAGATGGAGTGTGCAGGCTATTTAGCTAGCAATCTGTTGGTTTGTTTCCAGACAAGTGGCTGATTATGAGGCTTGATGTGAAAATCAAATTCACATGGAACAGAAATTAATTTCATCTGATGAAATATGACAATGAAAAGTACAACTGCCAGCCTTTCTCTTTGTAAAGTATATGAAAGTTACACCTGGGATATGCTTGGGCCATGCAGAAGACTTGCTGACATCAATGCCAGATATTGATTGAGTGGGAATGAAAGTTTACAGCATTCCAGGGAGCAACTTTGTGTGTAACTAGGAAAACCTATTTCTGGGGCAACTACCTAAACAGTGATAGAGTCTGTGGACAATGTGGCCTTTAGCAGTGATTACAAAGAGCCCCTTTCAGTCTTCAGCGCCACTGTGTGATTTTTTGGTGTCCTGTGCTACAATAGTAAACAAATCCCAGCCTGATTATAAGCAGGTTCTTTACATCCAGAGGATGCAGGTGTCAGGTATGAAAGACTGA